TCTTTCTCTCTCTGTCCCCCCGTCCCCTTTTTCTCTGCTCACTTCCCTCACAAGCTGCGATACTCTCCTCTCCACACGCACAATCTCAAACACCCCATCCCTCCTCTGAAACTGTTCCCAAAATCTGGTAGTGCGAAAGGCAGGGGCGGTCATTAATATTCTGGCCACACCCAACGAGGGAGCGCATCCAATCAGTGTCTAGCAGCCTCATCCTCCCTCGTGCACACGCCAATCATGCCCCAGATAGCACTCTCACAACCTGGTGTGTTGTTAACATACCAGTGCTCAGAAACCTGCTGCACTTGCACTAGTGCTTCATCTGCTCTCTGCCTGAAACTCATTCCACATGCAGAGGCTGTTTTCGAGCACAGCCCAGGCTGCTTTCAGTGCATGCTTGGCTTCAATCGTGTTCCTCTCTCCCCCAGGACCTGGGCTTGGGTCATACTGCATACATGTTGCCACACTTGGCACAGATTTCCACTCTAGAAACAAGTCGCCTCAAGTGTGTGACTCTTTGAAAGTATGGGAATCTCACACTGCTGCTGACATTCACACAAAATTACCACATGCTCTCCACAACCTGGTGGCCATGTGGGTCAGTGGCTTTATGAGTCCACAGGGACGTTTCAGAGCTGCCAAGGTACTGACTTTCATCACGTATTTAAAGAATTTCTGTCATTTCTCCTGCATGTCATTTTTTTTTGTCAGACTGCAGAGGTGGCAGTCTGAGAGATTGAATGTGTCTGACTGACGGATGGACTGACTGTCTGACAGATACTGTTTAAAAGAGCATGCACACATTTTCGGCTTATGGTTTTCACCCCTAAAAAGGTGAATGGACATGAGGCAGTGATATGATTAGAAAGGTTACCTTAAGAGTATCCACGTCTTTTACAACAATGGCATAGGTTACATGCAGGTCAACAGCAAGGAGCACTAACCACCATCATCTCAGCATGGTGAACTGGGTTTTCAGTCAAATGTAGAATTTGGAAATGAAATTGAAATAATTATAAATGCAGCAATGAAAACTGTAAAAAATAATATAGAAAACATGAAACACGAACATGGCATTTGTGTTTCAAGTATTAATTAGATGAAGGTTAGTCCCCTAATCACTGCATGCCAATCTTTTAAATTGATGCCATTTTATGTTCATGATTCATCCTCTTTTCATCGGCAAACTATGCTTTAATCAATACACCAACTATTGTAGCTAAGCCAAGGGTAAAAACTGTTTTCATCCATCATTTTCATCTGTTGTTTACATAGGCAGAAATAAAGTGTACATAACAAGGTAGATGCACTTTAGACCTATTAGTGCTTTTCTAAATTCTAAAGAGCTGAGTTTTTAACAAAGGAAGGTTTTACAAGAAACAGCTATAAGATATGTGTCCCTTATACTGAGCGTGCTTATTCACACATAATCCAAGTTGCTGAATCCCTTGAAATATATTATATGTATACAGCATGGTGTTCATCCCATTTATATACATTTTGTGTGTAATTGGCAGAATTCTTTCCGCCACTTTCACAAAATATACAGACTGGCCTGATTCGTGAAGCAGGGAATAAATCTTTTTGTAAATGGTTCGCCTTTGATATACTGTGACGCCATGAAGCAAAACATATTTGTGCTATTCAGTTTAGAAACACACAAACCAGAACACAAAATACACATGCAGAGGACCCCACGGGTCGCGGCAGCTTTGATGTCTTCAGCGTGTTAAAATTCACAGAGGGAGAAAAAAAAGGTTTTGGCTGCAGCAGGGAATCATGATACGCAAGGTGATGAAATCTTACTCTAAGACTGGAGGTTTTAGAAGTAGGGGTGCATATTATAGTACTTTATAAATCCCTGTGATGTGACAAAAGGATGTAAATGGATTGACGTGCACAGTCAGATACACAAAGGGTGCTGTGCTGCACTCTGGTCTCCGCGCAGTCATACAGGGCTATGAGTCTGGCTCGCTTTCCCTTGTTTAAAGCTGCAATATGAGTCTCCCATGAATGTCTCCACTAAATGACAAAACAGGCTACAAGGATAACTGCAGTGCGCACAGAGCAGGAATATGAGCATATGAAATGGGAATGGCTCTCCACAGGACTGGCAAATTATTTAGAGCTGTTTGCCTGGTAGGATTTTTGCTTATACAACCACAATCATTTCATACTGATAACATGAGGCTATTTTCGGAAAGTTAAGGGACATATGCAAATGTTCATGTCATACTTGTATTTTGGCTTTCTTTTAGCACACGTTACCATGCTTTTAATAAAAAAGTCATAATTTTGTCAACACTGTCTGAATATGCCTGTGTTCATCCTCTGTCTGAAACCCTTTTTTACAATTGAATGCCTGTCTTCAAAACCCCCTTCTGATAAAAACCTCATTCTGCTGTGATTGGCTTTTTAAAAAGTTGTTATGAGTCTAATACATAGACTAACTTGGTTGTCTCATTTCACATTTTGTGAGTTTGTAAGCACTCTATGTACCCAAATGTATGTGCATAAGCAGTATCATTTCATAATATGTCCCCATTTTAACATTTGTATACTGTCAATCAGGGGCGGACTGGCCATCTGTAGAATCTGGAGAACCACAGAACGGCCGGTCGTCAAGGGCCGTTGACGGCCGGCCGGCCCTTTAAAAAAAAAATTGTTTAACGGCATCATTTAAGTTGCGCTGACGGGCGACAGCGGCCGCTAATGCAGTTGTGTGGTTCTTATCTGTCAACAACACACGAAGAAGAAAAAAGACCGGCCACACGAAGAGAAGGGATTAGACGCCGCGGCAGACAGGAAGAATAAAAAAACATGGATACAAATCAAAGAAAACGAAAAGAAAAAGGTGGGGCCGAGAAGGCGAAAACAAAAAAGATGAAGTCACTCGCAGGTGAAGCATATACATGTCTCAAATTGACAGACCTTTTTGGCAGCAGCGCTGCTACGAGCATTATCAGCAGCAGCTTAGAACAAGTGCAAGATGATGAAGAGAATGATGAGGGCGTGAGTTCAGATATACAGCCAGCCTCCTGCGTTCATGATGAGGGACAGAGTTGAGCTGCTGGAAGAACCAGCTCAACTGGCACACGTGCAGGGATAGAGCAAGAGGTGGGTGAGAATTATCCCTTGAACTCAGTGGCGTTTTCTCCTGGAGGCCAAGGGAAGCCAGGCTTCCCCTGTTTTTTTGGATTGTAGTTATAATTTTAATAAATACATAAAAACACTTCGTTTAGTTTCGGTAATTATTCCGCCGGCCCATCTCTCCCCCATTCTCATTGAGTATTTTACAAAGAGTGAAACAGCGCCCCTCTAGATGTTATGGTGAAACAGTAGATTGCACTCTGTTGCGAGAGGAGGCTAGCCGAAATTGGCTTCCCTTGGTGAAAATAATTGAGGGATTGACCAATCAGATGATGCACGTCATGCCTCACAATCCAATCAAATCGCATCAACTTCAGTTCGTACTGTAACTGTCATCACTGCCCTTAAAAAGTAGCAAGCAACTGAAGCAAGTGCAATTATGGAGGGTGGAGATTTGGAGTATTTCATCAAAAATAATTTTACTAAACTTCCGCTACAGGAAGCAGCTCAAAATGAAATCTGATGACAGGCCAATGCCCAAACTGGAGCTGTGCACAGAGAGGGAAAAAGGAGCGAGTCAGACGTAAAACTTTAAACAATAAACAGCGGATTTCTAACATTTGACATTTCATGTGGCCGGACTGGATCAGTTTCCAGGGCTGAATTTTAGTCCCAGTCCGCCCCTGCTGTCAATACTGTCATACTTTCAAGGCAACCTGTTTACAGCTTTTATCTCTGCGTCATCTTGATTATAATATTTCTAATTTGCCTAGCTCAGTTGTTGTCAAGATGTCACTTTCTAAAAACACAGCTGTGTGTGAGGCCCATGAGCCAACTGATAGCACATTCTCTCAACAGCTCGACACCAATGATCATGAGGAATCAGCCATGAAATAAATAACAACAGCTCTCATGGGAAATAAACATGTGTTACCCAACCAAGCTGAACTCTTGAGGGATTTAAGCTTGCTTCAATGACAACATGTATGGGCAATACAACTAGATTAATCAAGATATTGACTGTGTTAACAGAGTGGCACAATAAGAACAAAAATATTGGTAGTGGTTATATAATAAGCTATATCATACAATATAGTTTTTATTTGGGAATTACATAATGTATTATAAGTGATAACAAGGGAATTGGTCTATAATGTTTTTGGATTCAGGCAAAAGGTGTGACTGCCTGAGTTTCCCTACCCCTTTCACACCAACGCGGTTCCAGGGCCGGTTCGGAGCTGGACCTTGAAAAGCACCGGTTTTTCCTGTTCACACCGCAGCGGATCAGCCTCTAAGCTCCGGAATCCGGTTCGTTTCAAGCACCAAAAAGTTGTCGGTCTAAAAAGCAAGCACCGCATACGCCACGCTTACGTCGGATCTGGGCTGTGTCCAAATAACACGCGACATCCGCCAGCTTCAACATGATAACATTGAGAATCAGTTTTAATGTTATACCCATAGACTGTATATATAAACGTTATACCATAGTAATTAATGCTGCAAAGCTGGGTATTTTGAGCTTGGCGCATGCAGAGGCTAACAACAGCTAGCTCTAACGCGATCGAATAGGACGTATATTTACCTTCTTTCTCCTATGGAATGAAGTTGATGATGATTGTAAAGAACTTTTGAATGTAGCATGTAACGACTGTAAAGTTGGTAGTAAAGTCATCCCATTTGTTCCATTTCGTTTCGACAGAGCAAACCAAAACGAGTAGCGCTTCAATACAATCTGCCATTGTTGTTGTCGATGTGAGGGGTTTCCGCGCGGTTTGGCTTTATGAAGCAGGCACGCAAACTGTCGAGACGAAAGTCAATATGTAATAATATCTGTGAAAAACGGACTAATAAATAATTATGTGTTTTCATTTAGAGTATTATTATTATTATTATAGTATTGTTCAATACCAGGAGAGGGTATTTGTTTTATTTTGGATAGCGTAGGCTACTTTTCATAAGCGAGCTGTAGAAAAAATATGAATGCCGCTTCCGGCAACACGGCTACAAAAGGGGTGTAGTTTGTGATGGCCGGTCTCTTGTTCTCAAAGCCACGGAGAGAGAACCAGGCGACAGTGTGTGTGAGGCTCCGGAGACGCCGTTGGTATGTTTATTGTGTTTATGTACTTGATCTGTTGCCGCACTTTGCGAGAGTGCTGTTGCGCAATCAACTGTTTTTTTTACGCAGCGCGATCTGCCTGTGCTCCGTTTGTTTTCTGTGCAATTTAGACAGCGCAGGTGTTCAGATGAGGTTTTCACTGGTGCTTGTTTCCAAGTGGAGATAAACACTCTTATTAATTCATTTAAGTTAATGATGTGGTTTTAAAGGAACAATTTATTATTTTTAATTAAAACATAGTTTGTGGTATTATTATTATTGAGAATGCAGTGAGACCTGCAAAATGTTTGTAATTTGTGTAGCATGTGAGCTAACTTTTGTTTGTCCTTTGTGTTTTGAAGGTTTTCAACCTGATCAATTCTTGGAGCCGTCTTGAATAAATAAAGACAAAAAGAACGAATTTGAGTTGTCCAAAGCGTCCTCTGTTGCCCTCTAGCATCAAGTCAGGCTAATCACTGGTACAGGCCAAAAACCTGAAGGACTTGACAGTTGAAAACCAAGCGGAGCAGCCTGGGCCAGAGGATAAAAGGCTTCAGACGTCCAGAGAAAGCTGTTGACGCAGATAAGGGAAACTGTGGATTTCCATTAGCTCAAAATGGCGGAAGAAATCCTGGGGAAGACGGTTAAAGAGCTCAAGAAAGCAAGAACAAGTGCAAAAAGCAACTTCACCAGGCAGGCCAACTACCTCAACAGAGAAGCAGGTAGAATGGTCGAAGCAGAGCTAAGGGAGGAATTCACCAAGCTGAAAGAGGGATTAAAAAAGGTTCTTGAAGCAAATGAGGACTGCATGGCTGGGTTGCAGGCAGACGCTCAAAAGGCCGAAGGAAAGGAAGAAGAAGTTCTTGCAAAGCGGGAAGAGGCCGATGTTGAAAGGACTGCAGAGGAGGCTGAAGCCAGAATGGAAGAGGTGAGAGGCCTTATTCAAGATAACCTGTGGTCCAGATATGGCCGATATGAGCTCATCACTGCAATTGAGGAAGCAGAAGAAGCCAGTGAACAAGCTGGGAATGTGCCTGTGGAGGGAACCAACCTGGAAGGCTACGGGGTGCTCCTGACCATTCTAGAGAGGCGGAGGAAGGAGGCCACCAGAGTGATGGCAGCTTGGGAGTGCTGGATACCCATGATGGCGAAATCAGATCTAGCTGGCAGAGTCAAGGACCTCAAAGCAATAAGGAATAGACTTGAGATGAGGCAAGGTGAATTTGTCAACTCACGCAGGATTGCAGCGGAGGAACTGGAAGCAGAAGCGCCAGGTAGAAGGGGAGGACTGCCATCACCAGCAATACCAGTAGTGAGGATTAAGCCCACAAGTCTTCCCATCTTCTATGGCTGCAGAAGAGAATACTACCGATGGAGGAAAGCCTGCAAAGACAGGGGGAGCCATCTGGATCTTCTGAAGCTAAGAAAATGCATCTTCTAGACAGTGTGGATGACAAGATTTCAAAGGAACTAAGACTCTCAACCTACAACACTGCTGAAGACATGTTCAGGATAATGGACAACAGGTATGGAAATAAGTCAACTATTGCCATAGAAATCTTAGAAGAACTGGAGAGAATCCCTTATGTGAAAGGAAACCAGCCAAGAAAGGTGATTGAGCTGATACAGCATGTGGAAAAAGCCCTTGCAGACCTCACAGAGCTGGGAAACTCAGGCGCCATGAAGAACCTCATAATCAAGTCCATAGAGAGCAAGTTACCTGACTTTGTGAAGAGAGATTGGCTGGTCTTCATGGTGGATCCAAACAATAATGTCACACCAGACAACCACTTCGACATGCTCCTTAGATTTCTAGAAAAGCAGGAAGAGATTCTGGAGAGGCTGGAACAGCTAAGGATCGGTGATAGAACTGACAGACAAGACCATCCAGACGGGAGGTATGAGAAGAAATATGCTTCCACAAGATCTGCAGAGAAGGCCGAGCATGGAGGAGTGTGTATTGTGTGTGGAGATGAGAGACACTATGACAAGATATTCTTCTGCAGGAAGTTCAAAGGGCTAACTGTGCCTGAGAAGAAAGCTGTTCTAAAGAAGATAGGAGCATGCAGAAAGTGTCTTGGATGTCATGAGGAAGGAGGATATTGCAGAGACAATTACCTGTGCAGGAACAAAGACTGTAAAAAAGGAGACACTTCAGATCACCATTTCTTTCTGTGTCCACAAGGGGGAAGCAAAGTGCCCTTTGAAGAGAAAGAAAGAAAATTAAATGGTTTGAGAGGAAGAGACTGGAGAAGTAAGAGCAAACTCACAGAGGAGCAGGAGAAATTCTTGGCTGAGCTTTCCCCAGAGCGTGCAGGAAAGCCTCTACCAACCAAACAGCAGTTACAGGCAGAGCTGGAGGACAGTCGAGGCTTTTGGACAGGGAAATTCCTGTCATCATGATGCTGATGGAGGTCACGGCAAATGTAGGGCAGAAGATTGGGACTCTAGTGGACCTTGCCTCAGACACAAATTACATCACCCATAAGGCTGCTGACAGGCTGAGGTTGCAAGGTGAAAAAATAACTCTGATGGTGTAGGAGGAATGACCATCAAGGTGAACACAAAAAGATACCTCCTTAGGGTGAGAGTCAAGACTCCTAAAGGGACAGAGAAGGCACATGAACTTGTCTGCTATGGCCTAAGGGAGATCGCCAAAGTGCATAGAGTCATCAGTCCTGAAAAACTGCAGAAGTTCTTCCCAGAGGTCAAGCCCGAAGAATTAAAGAGGCCAGAAGAAGTTGAGCTCCTCATAAGCCACAGGGAAGGAAGACTTGCTCCACAAAGAGTGAAGGTGGTTGGAGACCTTGTTTTGTGGGAAAGTCCACTGGGAAAAACAGTAGGCGGAGCACACCCAGAACTGTTTGAGGAGATTGAAGTGGCGGCACACAGGTCCAACACACACTTTGCTCGCTCCATGAGAACAGCTGCAGTCAGGTATGAGGAGAGAAAGCTTCCAAAAGACAAACCAGCACAGTTTCAGAAGGAAGATATGGCTGAAGTAAAGGTCACAGCTGCAACTAATTGTGAGTTCCTGGAATGGTGGAGGTGGGACAGCATTGGAGCAGCCTGTGAGCCTAAGTGTGGAGGATGTCGTTGTGGAAATTGCCAACCAGGAGGTAAAGAGATTACCCTGGCGGAGAGAGCTGGCCTAACCTACGTCAGGCAGGATTCTCATATTGCATCACCACACTGGGATGCAAAATATCTCTGGACTGAAGACCCCACTTCTCTCCCCAACAACAAACGTGCTGTGGAGGCCACAGTCCTGAAGACAGGAAAACAGCTGAAGCGGGAGCCTGAGGGGCAAGCTGTAGATAAAGCCCAAGTGCACAAAATGGTCGAAAGAGCTGGTGGCTTATGCCTCAAACCATGGGTCCGGTCTTGTCAAAGTGGGAGGCAAGAAACTGCAGCAGCGCTCCTGGGAGGAGAAAAAGCAACCGCTGCAAGTAAAACTCTCATCCTCCCAAATCAGATGAGAGAGGAGGACAACAAAGCCCTGGGAATTGGGTACAGAGTGGAGGAGTGGCCAATAAGATCAGCTGGAGAGGTGGCAGCGCAAGCCAGAGAGTGTGGACAAGCTCCAGAGGAAGGCATTTTCAGCAGCCATAACAAGAGCTCAAGCCGAGATAAATCAAAGAGATGGCCTAGAAGACCCACAGGGAAACAGAAAAAGGAAGAGCCAATGGGAGAAACCTAGAGCCGATCAGACTCCTACCAGAAATCTCACAGGAAAGACAGTGAAGGATCCTGTGGAGGTGAAAAGATTCTGCAGCCTTCAAAAACGTGTCGGTGTTATAGCCTGGGTGTGGAGAGCTGCAAGGAAGGGGCTGGAGATTAAGGACCAGCCTAGGGCAGAATCAAAGTTGGAAGTAATATGGCACACAAGGAATCGAGATGTAGCAGTGGGAGATGTGGTGTGGCTGGCTGACCAAAATAACCTGAGAGGACATTACAAACTGGTGAGAGTGGTCAGTGTAAATACTGATGGAAAAGGCATCGTAAGGGATTTAAATGTGAGAACCTCTCCCAGCTACCCAGTCTCAGTTATGAAGAATAAAGTCTGTGGAGGGTATAAGGGACATCCAAGCAGGATCCCTGGCACTATTCTTCATAGAGGTCAGGCGCCTTGTCATCTTACTTCCTGTGGAACAACAGGTGTGATTTGAAGGTGAAGAACTGGTGTGAGCTCCTTGGGTTAGAAACCAGGAGCTCAAGGGAGGTGTCGAGACGAAAGTCAATATGTAATAATATCTGTGAAAAACGGACTAATAAATAATTATGTGTTTTCATTTAGAGTATTATTATTATAGTATTGTTCAATACCAGAAGAGGGTATTTGTTTTATTTTGGATAGCGTAGGCTACTTTTCATAAGCGAGCTGTAGAAAAAATATGAATGCCGCTTCCGGCAACACGGCTACAAAAGGGGTGTAGTTTGTAATGGCCGGTCTCTTGTTCTCAAAGCCACGGAGAGAGAACCAGGCGACAGTGTGTGTGAGGCTCCGGAGACGCCGTTGGTATGTTTATTGTGTTTATGTACTTGATCTGTTGCCGCACTTTGCGAGAGTGCTGTTGCGCAATCAACTGTTTTTTTTGTATTACTTTTACTTTATAAAATAAGAGTATTTTTATACTAGAGTAAACCTAATGAATCATTATTTTATCCACTGACGATAATAAATGTCAAAGAGGAGGAGATATTATCCATTGCCTGATCAACAGACTTGACATTTCTCTCAGGAGCCACACCACTCCTCAGAGTGAGACTGCACTGTTATTGATCACAGAGTAACAATGTGTGGAGAGCTGTCATGCGTACAAAACACATCCTGTAACGGCTTGCATTGTAAATTAAACATGAATAAAAAACATAATTAAAAATAGACTCACACATTAATCATCATGAATGAATAATATGAATCCACAAAGCTCAAGAGTGAAAAATGACTGAGTCACACCTGGGTCAGCATTAGTGGAATGTGATGACTTAATACCTTTGTACAATAGGCTTTAGTATTAATTAAAGCTTTTAACTAACATATGTAATTAAGAAGTCAGTTCAACAAGGGGATTTTACATGAGGTGACACAAAACAATCAAGTCAGTGCAAAGCATATAAGCCAACCTATCGTGCACCATACATGTTTGTGAATGAGTCAATTGATGACTGTAGTTGTGCAACACGACACGGTAATTATGCCGTGCGACATGCTCAGAGCTACCCAGATATACAGCATATGCAACAGTTTGGATGTAGGCGGCAGAAAGGAACGTCTCTACGCCTACCTGCCCTCACTGGGTACAAAAGAAAACAGAAATTAGTGTTTTGTCAATCTCTGTATAAAGGCAAGAAATATAACTGCTGTTGGTGTTGAAGCTGGCTTTAAGTAGAAAATAGGACAATGCTTTTGGTATTCTATATGGTTGTCAAAAGCCAGACTTTTACATATAAATGAAAATCTGTTACATTCAAGCTTTGCAAAATGAGGACACACAATATTGTCTAAACCTATTGCCCTCAGGGAGGCTCTCTGTATTTTGCACTACAGCATGGTGTCTGGCGTTTGTGGGGTCTTTACAGAGCTGGCACACTAGAAGAGATGGTGCTTAAGGGAGCAGAGAAATATTAAAAAAACGTTTATGATATTTATTCTACATGTTTATTAGAAAAATATTTGTATCACTACCTTTAGTCCCCCTGGCATCTTTCAGGTTTACATTTAACTGGTATACATAAGGAGGTATGACCGAAACAAGATAAAAATATCTCAGAAAATCCCAAGAGACGTTTTGTGGAGTGAATGCTCCATTTGCACAGAAAAATGCTTTCACAAAGAAATGTGAAAGTGAAAAGGAATAAATGGTAAGTTTGCTTAATGCCTCCTCAATGTGTAAAGCACATAACTAGACCTTTTCCACAGACTGAGATTGACATTTCCGTCACTCTCCAGTTGCAAGTTTCAGAGCGACCAACAGGTATTACATACCTTGCAAAATTATTTGTCAAAATATCATTCTGAATTTGGTATTGTAGTGCTGCAAGTATGCCATGGCCTACAAATAGAATTCTTCAGACTTAAGAGGAACTCTTTGATTGGTTACATACCGTCACACACAGTTACGACATTATCATGATAATGTGTTTTCAGAAAATGAGAATAATGATGTCAAAGTAATCAGCACCTCCTATATCGTTAATTATATCTTAATCAGTCATCAGTCAAGATGATCGCAATGAGATATCGTTTTCAAATCATTCAGCCATATCATCAAATGTTGATGGATGGAGTAACACATAAGAGAATGATTCCTTATTGTTAAACCGAAATGATCATCTGTTCTTTTTTTGTGTCACTGACTGTTGAAGAGTTTTCAGTGTGTTCCCAGCCTGCATAAGAAAAGACAATGTATCTTTTACTTTTTGATTTGGTGCTGGTTT